AGTTCTTGGCGAACTTCTTGCCCAGCTTGTCCGCAGCGGACTTGCTCACCACCTCCAGCACGTTGTAGCGGATCGTCTTGCTCAGCGGGCGGCACTGGCCAACAATCACCTCGTCACCAGGCTTGGGGTCGAAGCAGGGGCTGCAGTGCACCGTCAGGCTGCGGTGGCGCTTCTGGTAACGCTGGTACTTGCGGATGAAGTGCAGGTAGTTGCGGCGGATCACAATAGAGCGGCGCATCTTGGTCGAGTGCACGATGCCGCGGAGGATGCGGCCACGAATCGACACGTTGCTGGTGAAGGGGCACTTGCGGTCGATGTACTTGCCGTTGATAGCCATCTTGGGGGTCCTAAAGCCCAGACCGATGTTCTTGGCGTAACGGATGTGGCCACTCATGTTGACGTGCTTCTTGGAGGGGTTGTGGCTGTTCTCGTTGACCGCCGTCTGGCGCTGGTACGCCTTCTCGTGCTGCAGCGTCAGATCGACGGAGTGCACACGGGCATATTCCTGCGTGGCCGCCATGATGAGTATACACCTACTATGCTCTACAGCGAGAAAGGAACGAACAAAAGAAAAGCGAGGGAAGAGAAGATCGCGTCGGCCGCTGCTCCCATTGACGCCGCTAGGGTGTGTCAGAGCGCCATGACTAATGTAGGGGAGGGATGAGTTACGTACGGCCACGTGTGATGACGTTCTACCAGGCTTACAACTGGTGCGGGCCCACTGAGCACCCAGGGATCTTTACAAAATCATCGAACTCGTAGCGCTTCTTATCGGGGCAGCACTTCCAGTACTTGTAAGTATCCCAGAAGACGGGCCCCCCGCTATGGTAGCAGCACGCCGTTGGGCTATTCTCACTCACCACAAACTCCTTCTGGCAGCCGTAGTTACGGCACCTTGCCTTGCCGTCCACAATCGCCTGCGGCTGCTGTCCCTGTGCCGCCCCTTCAAACTCCCGCGGCCCAGTGGTGCGGCGGGGCGCAACATCGCCGCTGCTGCTGCCGCCGCTGCTGTTGTTGCCGCTCACCACCGCCTTGAGTTGCTCCTCCGAGAGCGGGACGTTCGTGACAGAAGCGCTTGTGAAGGACACCGGCCGGTTCTCCGTGCTGTGCGGACCGGTGCGGCACGGCGGGATCGCCTTAAAATCGTCCCAGTCGCGCGCCCGCCGCGTCGGGCAGCAGCGCCAGTACTTCTCCACATCATGGAAGACTGGCGGCTCCGCGTGGTGGCGGCACGCCGCGTCGTGGTTCTCCTCCGGTAGGAAGAACTGTCCGCAGCCAAAGTTGGTGCACACGAGCGACCCCGGCTTCTGCTGCTGCTGCTCCGACCTCACCGCGTGGCGGAGGTGCAGGTCGTTGTACTCGTGGATGCGTGCCTCCACAATGTCCACCGGGCGCAGCTCCACGTTGCCCAGCCACAGGCCGAGCTCCTCCGCCACAAGAGGCCGCTTGGGGCTCTTCTTGTTGTACGTTGCCACAACGAAACGAATCAACTGCTCGCATGGGCCATTCAGCCACTTGGCCGGGATGTCAATCTTCACCTTGTACGGCTCGGCCAGGTCGCTGTCCACGACGCACCCATTCGCATCCTTCCCCTCGTAGATAAAATATACCTTCATGAACACTCTTTGCTGGCGATACACACACACACACACACACACACACAC